AATATATACAACTTAAATAACTTTTATAGTATATTATTAATTTTAAATTATATATTTAATAATGCAATATCTATGTAAATATTACATATATTATTTTGTGATATTAATTGCAAGCATATTATATATGTACATATTATTTATATTTTTAATTTGTATTAATATACCGTTTAACATGTAATTTTTTTATGTATTTTTTTACAAAATAAAAATAAAAATAATTTTAAATAAGATAGAAAAATTGAAATTTAAAATAAGATATGAATTTATTAAAATTTGTAAGTATAAAATATATTTAATATAAATATTTTTTAATAAAAATCGAGTCATGCGGTTCAACTAGTGACCTACCGGTTCAACCTTTGACCCACTGACCTAGTACCTTAACCGGTTCGATAACCGGTCCGGTTTTTAAAACTATGTTAATACTACGTTCGTCTCTATAAATAACATTATTTTTATTTTATTATTTTTATTTTAAAATATTATTTTTTAAGTATATCATACATTTAATATTCTTAATTAAAAAATTATAAAATGTTAAAAATTAATTAAATAAATTATTTCTTTCATTAAAATTGGAGAAAATAAGTAAACATAATTAATTGACTAAAGAGGACACTTTTCAAATGGATTTACTAGAATAGGACTATTTTAAACTTACTTATCAAATAAGAATGGTTATCAATAAATAAATAAATAAGTGTTAGTCAAATATTTTTATTTTATATTTTATCTTCGTTTTATCCAAATGACCCATGTATGAACTCATGAAAGATTATATTTGGATAACATTTTCTAAATTAATAAATTTTTTAAAGAGTATTAATTAGTTAAAAATATCTTTATATATAGAAAGGAGGTGTAAAAACTTCTCACTTTAATTTTGTCACTTGAAAATTTAGGGACGTACTTTAAGAATTTGCAACGTATTTAGAGAGTCTATTAATAATTTAGGTCTCATAGATACTCGCACAATATTTCTCATTCATAGATTTGCACCTATCTTTATTTAGTTAGATACAAAATTATCTATTCTGAAATAGGAATAAAAAGTAATAGATCTTTTAGCCCCTTATTGAAGTGGAGGAAAAACATGACTTTTCAATCGTGTCGAAATAGGTAAAATAGTACTCATTACGGAATTGATAAAAAATATTGCAAAAGCTCATGGAGGTTTATTTGTATATGACGGACTAGGTGAGCGTACTCATGAGAGAAATGATCTTTATATGAAAATAAAATAATCCAAAGTAATTAATGAAAAAAAAATATTGCAACATCTAAAGTAGCTATAATATACAGTCAAATGAATGAATTGCTACTAGGAGTTTACGTGAGAGTGGGTTTAACTGCCGTGACTATGGTGGAATATTTTTGAGATGTCAACAAATAAGATATATCTATTTAGAAAAGACGAACCTGATTTTTTTTAATAAAAAAAAAAATAGAACATGAAATTGGAACACATAAGCAAAATATTGACGGTAAAAAGGAAAAAAAGTTATTATTTATGTGAGAAAAACTAAAAATAAGGAGAAGATGACATGTTAAAGGTCAATAGATTGTTTTATTATAATTAAATAAATAAATTTTAGTTTTCTTTCTTTTATTGTGAGTAAATAGATAAATTGTAGTTTTGTTATATATATATATATATATATATATATATATATACATTAAGGAAAGTGATTAGAGTTTAGGTGAGGGTTTGAATTCCATCTCCAAAAGAAAATTGAAAAGAAACGTGTTTGTGTGTTGGGTGAACGGGTCAAGCGATGTTAAAGAAACAGAAGAGAAACGTCAAAGAAGGCAACTCGACTCAGAAGACAAAAGGTAAAACTGGATGGCCTTGACTCGAGTCTCTATCCCTCTCTCTCTATTTTTTTTATTATTATTTGTCCGGCATTATTTATGATAGTATATACTATATACTGTATATGTATGGAACTTCCACGAACTGGACTCTGATTCTTTGTTTCAGTAACATTTTAAAATCATTTTTTTTATGGAGGGATGTTTCCACTACACCTTCCCAATTACTTTTTCTTTTTCTTTGGGAGTATGAGCTCTATTGTCTTTTTTAATCAATGAAAAAGGAGATTATTCCCTGTTCCCACTTTGAGTTCACACTATTCCATTCCCTTTGCCTTTTTTTTTTACTTTTTTCAGTGGAAAATTATTGAGTCCACCGCTGGGTACGGGAATTGGGTCTGCTCATTTATTTGTATAATAAACACGCAATCAATACCTCTTTTAAACAAGAAAATAACACATTTTATATTTCCTTTGAGTCCACCTCTGAACATGTTCAATTCAAGGAAAAAGCTCAATTTAAGAAAAACAGCATAATTAATATTTCATTTTAAATTTTTTTGGCTTAATTGTTCGAAATTCTCTCTCTATCTCTTCCATTAATTATTTTTGAATCTTTTTAATGTTGTATTTGTTTAATAAGTGTAAAAATTTGGAATTTGATTTTAAAGAAAAAAAGAAGTGAAAATTTTAAAATATGGAATGGATAAGCTAGCTGAACTAGCGAATATATATCGAACGGATATAAGCTATAGTACTCACGTTGGTCAGATGAGATATCAAATCACTCATCACACTTCACAGTGTAAAATAGAAAATGCACGATATATAATACTTCGGCTATGTGCATTGCACGATATCTATCTATATGATATACTGTGGTTCATATTGTTCTCATCGAGAGGCTGACGACAATTAATCTCTTTATAATAAAATTTCATTAAGATTATAGAAACTGGTGAGTCGGGAAGAAATATCATATTAGTCTCCGTAGCAATGGAATGCACAAAAACGTCTTTTACGATTCATCTAATTAACTTGAAATTTATTTAATGGAAATTCTAATTTATTTCATTGAAACAAAATATTAAAAAAACATATCTTATTAATCTATAACATGTTATAACTCTTTTCTTTACTCTGAATACTTATAATATATATTTTTTCTTGAACATTATAATATATTTATTTAGTTTTTAATAAACTATTTGATCCCTAAACACAGAATGATCAAGTTTAAAATTAATAAAATACTTAAAAATTACCTGAAATACATCACAAAAATATGCGTATTTTTTTTATTTATATTTTAAATTAGTTTGAGAATTAATTTTGTCAAACACTTTGTTTCTATAAATTAATAAAATCTTTGAAAATGAATTGTTAATTATGAACTATTGTTTTAACGAATTTGATTAACGTAGGGAGATAACATACAGAAAAGTGAGGGTAAATGTCCCTTTTCTTTATTGTTACTATATAGCATGGCCATTTTGGTTCTTATCCCTTGAAAAGTAAGATTGGGTTTGATTTTGTTGATTATTATAATAAGTGATTAAACGAATAAAAAAGGTGGTGTTAGAGTATGTGTTAAGTTAAAGAAGAAATGGGTGTGGGCGTGTGACCAAGAAACAGGCAACTTGATATGTTGTTGAAAGACAGGATAGGAAATATTCAAGGTTGGGTATTTGGCAAGAACAAGGCCATGTGAACTACAAAATAATTGCTTATATTATCATATATTTTATATGAATTATATTTGGTAGATTGTACTGGTTTCAATTATTAGGCTGGATCCGCGGAATAATTAATTAGCTTAATTAACCATTTTTGCGTCTCGCTCTCGCTGGGGACCAGGCAAGTTGCATCTTTCCATCTCTATCTTTTGAGGTGAGGGACAACTGTGAAATGAAAAGTACTCGTATATATTAGTGCTCTCTAACTCGCACTATAATTGGGATTTCCCCATTATCACTCACGTCAACTTGCTTTCGAATCATGCCAAAAGTATATGTCAAAACACACGGGAAGGCATAGCTACTTACGCTGAAATTTATTATAAAGTTTAATAGAGTTCATTTTCATAAAATTATGAGTTAAAATGAGGAGAAAAAAATGATTCTAAATATTTATTAAACAGTCGTGTTAGTTTAAACGTTTAATGATAGCCAGGTTTCGTAATAGCGAACTGGATTTATTGGGTGATAACAAAATAATTTGAATATGGAAAAAGAAGTTTTAATTAAAATAAAAGTAACATGGGATATTTTAGTTTTGATATGGTAATCCGTGAGGTGGTTTAAGTTTGAATTGTTGACTGGCGAGTGCGACCTGACACGTGGCCATTCCGCAGGTGTCACGATCTTTATTTTGTCGAAGCCAAAGTAGCTTTCTTTATGGTACAACAAGGAAGGTCGGTGGGGCCAGGGCCAGTGGAAGAGGACAAGTAACGTGACGGCGTTAGGAAAGCAAAGGGAAGTAGTAACGGAGAGCGTTAGAGAAAGAAAGGAAGAGGAAAGAGGGAGAGAGGGAAAAAGAACAGGTGTCCTCTGACACGTCATGTTGGTTTATTGCAAGGTCGGTGGCAATGCAACCCAACCCCACTTGTCTCCTTCCTCATATGCTATATATCAACCCTCCACCCAACCCTTCCCCAAACCACTTATACTATTAAACACACCACACCTTCTTTATTATTATTTTTCTCTCCTTCCTTTTCATCTAATTCTCAGGAGGTATAACACTTTTTTTTTTTTTTTTTTCTCCCCTTCCTTTTCATTTAATTCTCAGGGGGTATAACCCTTTTTTTTTTTTTTTTTTCTCCCCTTCCTTTTCATTTAATTCTCAGGGGGTATAACCCTTTTTTTTTTTTTTTTTTCTCCCCTTCCTTTTCATTTAATTCTCAGGGGGTATAACCCTTTTTTTTTTTTTTTTTTCTCCCCTTCCTTTTCATTTAATTCTCAGGGGGTATAACCCTTTTTTTTTTTTTTTTTTCTCCCCTTCCTTTTCATTTAATTCTCAGGGGGTATAACCCTTTTTTTTTTTTTTTTTTCTCCCCTTCCTTTTCATTTAATTCTCAGGGGGTATAACCCTTTTTTTTTTTTTTTTTTCTCCCCTTCCTTTTCATTTAATTCTCAGGGGGTATAACCCTTTTTTTTTTTTTTTTTTCTCCCCTTCCTTTTCATTTAATTCTCAGGGGGTATAACCCTTTTTTTTTTTTTTTTTATAAAAATAATTGTTGAATTTTATTGGCCATGGCAACTCAGATTTTGCGTCCTCAGGACTGTTTGGTAGAACGAATCGGAGCTCCTCCGGCACAATTTTCCCGCCGCCGGAGTTCTGCTCACTATTGTAATTATTATTACTACAACAACCACGTCGCCACTTTCAGGTCCTGCCGGAAGCCGCTTACCCGACCCGAACAGAGGAAACGGGTTGCCGTTGCCTCCTCCCAGGCTGCGGTGGTCAAGAGGTCCAGCGCTGATGACTCCAAGCTGGGGAGGAGCAGCAACTTCGGTTTGGAGAAGGTTACGATTCTCCGGCGTGGCCAGTCGCTGGATTCGGCCGTGAAGACCGACGTGTACGCCGGATCAGCGTTCGCGATGTCTCCGTCGCCGAGCGCGCTTCCTATACCGTCGTTTTCGACGAAGAAGCCGGCCTCGGCGGCGGTTGATGACTCCGCCACGCGAGATCTAAGGCGCCTGCTCCGGCTCGAATGAAAACGAGTCGGGTTGCAGTTTCGGGTTTTCAAATCGGGTCGAACCCGATAGATGAACGTATCCCGCTCTCTCTCGTCTTTTGATTGTCTAGAATGTTCTCCCCGTTTCCGTTACCGTTACCGTTACGCCCCTCCTGGTTTCAGTTTCTGACCCGTCCGTGATTTTTTTAAACGGAAGGGTGGATCTGAACTGCGGGGGTAAAAAAATGATTACGAAGTTTGGAGTAGTGTATGAAGCTGTGATGTAACATGTAACATATTTTCTGGGGTTGTTAAATAAAATATTAAAATAAAATTTAGGGTTGTAACACTAATACAGTTTAAAGGGAGGTCAGAAGCATATGAAAGAAAGCAAAAGCAAAGTAGGATCCAGTTATTGTTGGTATTTGGGGGTATGTTGATTGTTGAGCTTTGGCTATGAACAGTGTGTATGTGAATGTGAATGTGAATGGTTCGTTTCGTTCTATGTTGTGAAGAGGTCATCAAGTGGATGGTTATTGCTCTGTTGTGAATTTGTGGGCTCCTTGTTGTACGCTATTTTTGTAAAGTAAATGGTTACCTTAGTCAACTTTCAAAAGATTTAATTTCGTAAACTTCCTTCTTGTTTTGCAAACACATCCTAAGAAGAAGAAACAAATACTTTCCCCTAATTTGAAATTTGTCAGTTAATATTTGCATGATCTTATAAAGATGAAAGTAAAGCAATATACATGTAGCAATGTCTGGTGTAACTAGGCATCTTGCATAAAGTGACATGGAACATTATCATCGAAGAATATTTTTTAATTTATTTATAAAAATAGAAAATAGAAATCAAATGTAATTATGTTTATAATACAAATCTATTTTATCTAAACTTCTAACTAAAGAAGCAGATTAAGGCAATAAAGGCATTTTAGTTTACTCATATGTGGGCATTTTGGAAATTTAAATTAAAAAATTGTAATTATATTTCTATCATTTTATATTTTTGTAATTTCGCCTTTAAAGTTAATTTTATAAACTATTTTTGTTATAAGCCTATTTTTACCAGCATATTATATTATTATTATATATAAATATATTGTAAAATTTTATAAATTGCAAATAAATGTATAGATTTAATTATAGATTTTTTTAATTTAATAAGTTAATCGAAAAATCTGTACGTATTATTATTATTATTATTATTTATATGTGTTAAAAATACTGTATTTTGCAAAATTTTATAAACTGTAGATAAGTTTCTAGATTTAAATATAAATTTTTGAATTTAAGAATTTAATTGAAAATTCTTAAAACATTTATGTTAGAATATTGGATTAAGTCTAACTCAACTCTACAAAATTGGCTTGTAAGGTGAGGGTTATATATTATTTAATTGTTTAATTGTTAATCATGGAACTTGGATTTTTTTCAATACACTCCTGCACGTCCAGGACTATTGAGCTTGGTGGGTAGTCCTTTTTAATGATCTAGGATAGGCGGGACTTAGGTTTTAACCCTACAAAACTGCCTTGTAAGGTGAGGGTTGTTTTGTACTTATATACTATTCAATTGCCTAATCTCTAGTCGATGTGGGACTTAGGTTTTAACCCTACAAAACTGCCTTGTAAGGTGAGGGTTGTTTTGTACTTATATACTATTCAATTGCCTAATCTCTAGTCGACGTGGGACTTGGATTTTTTTCAATAATTTAAAAACCAAATAATATATTGAACTTTGATTTTATAAAAAAGAAATCTTGTTGACAAATTAAACCTTTGAAAAAAATATACGAAGGATTGGGCTTGAGAAATATGGCCGCCCAAAAGATGATATGATAAATCTGAAACAGTCTGGTACGTCACGAGTAGTAATTAATTTATTTTGTTGGTAAGCAATTACAACCTCCACCAGTCACAAGTAATGATGAAGCAATTACTGCAATTGATTAAAGGTATTGACTAAGAATTGGGCATAGAGGATAGGCATGTAATGGAAGAAGTGGTGGGAGCCTGTTATCACTGAAATCTGTTAAGCATTCAATATCGTCCGAATTTTTAGTTTTTATTTTTATGGCGAAATTGTGATACTATTTGTTAGTTATTTTTAAATAGTTCCTCTTTTGAGTGATAGATGCTGGAAAATATTGAGACTATTACACTTCTTATTATCATTATATATATTTTTTTAATTAGATGAGGTTTCTCTCCTCCTAAGAGATCTTGACAGATTACCAAACTTATACGGGTGAGGGGCGAATGGGCAACTGAAGCAGTTAGCTATATTTCAAAGTCTTCACCCAAGTCCCAACGATAGAAAAAGAGAACAATCTTGAAAGAACCACACACAAAAAAGAAAGAATAAAAATTGGATGGCCTGTTATTACTTATTACCATTGAAGAAAATAATATTAAACTTGCTGCAATTTTGCATGATGACAATCAAATTTGTATCTTTGAATAATGCTTTAATTCATCCCAATTTTGATGGATAATATTCGATTTCATTAAATAAAGATATATGTATAAGTAATACTCAATTATTAAAAGAGATACAGGATAGATATATATTTGCCACCTATTTCATACATGTTCCCGCTTTAAATTTTTAGAATTTTAATTTATTATTTTTAAAATTTACTTGAAATTTATATAATTTTTAATTTATTTTAAATTTATGTCAAATAAAAAATAATTAATGTATTTTGATAATTGTTACTCAATGTTAAATTTTTTTAATTTTTATAATATATTTTTTTAAAAATATATTTAATTAATTTTTAAATGAATATGAGGATACTTAATGGAGACATAGATATATATAACATACAAATTCAGACACATAAAACAGGGATATTGAAATTTTAAACCAACACATGTGCCAGTCCTCCGATCCATCCAAAATATGAAACCAACACATGTTCCGCAACATCCCGACTCACAACAATTTACAATGCAAATTGTCCCACTCAATTGCAGTATCATTTACTAATACTAGTAAAATAAGTAAATGTTAATTAAAGATAGTAAAATGATATTATAATCAATATTTAAAATATATTAAACATTTAAAAACTTGTTGATTAATATTTATAATATAAAAAATTAAATATGTATCTATTAAAAATATATTCTTTAAATATATGTAAAATAAATAAATAAAGATAATAATAATAATTAAAAGTATATTTTTAGTCTATCAGATATAAGACAAGTTTTTTTATTCATCAAATACTAAATTATTTTTTTAATCCATATAATTTGAGAAAAAAACTTAATTTTAGTGATCATATATCATTAATAAATCATAAAGATTATTTATTACTGAATTAGTTGCACAAAATTCACATGTTGGTATCTTTATTTGTAAAAATATCACATTAAACTTATGTTATATAATTGTGTTCATTTATTAGTATCAGTTACATTACAGTTTATTGATGATCTTGATTGAGAGATTGAAATTAAATTTTTAAAATTAAAAAATTAATTTTAAATTTGAGAAACCAAAATCTAATTTACTCAAAATTTAAGGACTAAAAATATATTTAAAGACAATAACAAATATAAACCATACAAATAAAATTTTAAAAAAGAGAGTTAAATATGCTTTTAATGAGTAAATTTTGATTTTATTTATTATAATAAAAAAATTATTTTCATCCTAAAAAAAATAAAATCATAATTTTTAGATCTTACTATTATGTATAATAGAAGGTCATATCACCATCTTAAGTGAAACTAAAGTGTGTATAAATATCATGTTAATACGCAACATTTCAAAAAATTTTAGATTTATACAATAATAATATTTATTTTTTTAAAATAAATATTAAAACCAAATATAATTATTTTAACTTTTGAAGGGATGAAAATTAAAAAAAAAAATATTTTTTTTAGATCAAAGTCAACCTTTTCTCGTTTAAAAAGGATACAAAATTATTTTATATTTAGAGAATAAAATAATTGTAAGGACCAAAATTAAAACTCACTAATTTAATAGATTTTTTTTAAAGAATATGCATATATATATATATATATATATATATATATATGAGCCACCTTATAATTAGGAAGGTTAATAATCTTTCTTAATCAACTAAAACAAAATCATTTTTGAAAACATTGAGTTAAAGGAAATTCAACTAATAATGCTTTAAGGAGAAAATCGAGTTATACTTTAGGTTGCACAAACCTAGTCCAACATTTTATAAGCTAAAAAAATATTTTTTTTTTAAAACAATTATATATAAACAAAACAATTTGTTAATATAATGACATCATATTATATTTACATTATTAATTGTCTTTAAATTATATATTATTATAAAAATATCTTAATATAACAATTATATATTTTTTATTTAGGATTTAATTATATAATACTAAAATTGACATATCATTTTAGATCTCTTCTTATTCTACATTTTATCATATCTTAATTAAGTTACATTTGAATTAAAATAAATGATTCGTTACTAACATTACATATTTTTACTATAAATTTCACCGTTCAAAACATTAGGTCACTTCACTTAACATTACTTTGATTCAAGTAAAACTAAATTCAAATATCTTAAATAAAGTTTTAAAATGGCTAAAACCCTATTTTAGTCCCTTATAATTTTTTTTTGTTTCAATTTAGTCACTCATTAATTTTTTGTCTCAATTTGGTCCCAAACTAATTAATTGGTTTCAATTTAGTCCTAAATTAATTAATTGGTTTCAATGTGGGACTTTCCGTCCAAATTGCTTTAACGGTGTTAACTTTTGGCCACATGGACGCCACGTAGATGCATACGTGGCATCCACGTGGATGAGAATTTTTTGAAAACACCTGGACCCAGAACGGCCCGTTCTGAAACCGGAACGGGCCGTTCTGGGTGCACTTTTGGTGTGTTAATTTTGCATCCGGAACGGCCCGTTCCAAGTGCAAAATTAACACACCCAAAATGCACCAGAACGACCCTTTCCAGTTTCAAAACGGACCGTTTCGGTTTTATTTTATTTTTTTATATATAAAATATTAATAATTTTATAAAATATATATTATTAATTATATTTTAATTATGTTATTATATCCAATAAAATAAATATATTAATATTTTTTTTATATTTTATTTTATTATGTTTATCTTATTAATTTTTATCATTTTATTCCTTTAATCTTAAATAAGTTGCAAAAAATTATAAAGTGATATTCCTTTTATCTTATTAATTATTATATTTTTTAATAAAATTAATTAAGAATATTGGTTTAATTGCATTTTTTATCCCTCAAGTATTACAATTGTGCAGTTTTGTGATCTCCAAGATTTTAATTGCATAATTTTAGTCCTTAAAGAATTGCAATTGCGCGATTTTGGTCCTTCAATTTTTAATTGAACAATTTTAGTCCCTCAAATATCATAATAGTATGATTTTTGTTTCTCCCATTAAAAATTAATAATTTTAATATATATATATATATATATAATGTTTTAAAATTAAATAATTATTTATCTATTCAAATTAACGTATATTATAATTTTCGATATTATATCAATAATATTATTAATATATTTATAGATAAACTAATAATTTGATAAATATAACTTGTTATATATTAATATACTTTTACAAAAATATAA